GTGTGTGTGTGTGTGTGTATATATATATATATATATATATATATGTATGTATGTATGTATTTTTTTTTTATTTTATTTAAGTCAAACCTACTAAAAGATATGCAATTATCTTAAAATGGGTCTAAATAAATAGTTTAATTACAGTCGTTTTTCTTGCATTTAATGTCGTTCGGATAATTTGTAATGCTTGTTTGATCCCTAAATTATGTTATGCTTCATTCGGTTTTTTCTTCTTTCATCTTTAAAAATAAAAAGGGATCCTTATCTATTTGTCCTCTATCGAAAGTGATGTAGTAAAAAAATTGGTAGTGCAAAAGTTTGAAATTTTTGTGGGTGATTAAATAAGTATATGTTTACTTTACTATGAGAACAGAATAATCCTTATCATTGAAAAAGAACATTGTGATACCTATTTGCTCACTGGCTGATGCCTAATTTGTGTAAATGCTAAGTTCTAATTTTAATATGTTTGAGTTGTATAGTGATGTGAACACTTTCCTTTATTGGTATAACTAGATTTCCTTCCCCTATTTGTTTTCTATTAGTTTTATAAGTTCATTTATTTTCTTGTGAGGATGCCAAATAGATTATCATAAATAGTATTTTACTTGATTCACATGGACTCAAATTAATTCTTACAATATTATATTTTTATGTATGTAAAATTTGTCCGAGTTCACAACGAACTCTGGCCTTCCCTTTACATTTTAAGAGAGTCATAAAGGCACAATTCCTTCATCGAGTCAGCCATAAAAATCGACGAACAAGTTCCAAAATTGAAGAATACGTGCAAACCAAAGAGTTGAGAGATTTCGGACCAAGATTTCAAAATTTATTTTAAATATTGTATTCCGTTATGTAGGGCATAAGCCCTCGTTTTGTATTATTGTTTTTTGCTAGAAACTTAGGACATGTACAATTGAAGTGGGTCAAAAACCCAAAACAAAAATGGGTCTAAATATCGGTTCAGGCGAACAGAAATCGGATTTGGACCCAAAACAAAAATGGGTCTCTCTCTCTCTCTCTCTCTCTCTTTCTCCTTTTTACTTTACTGCGTATGTGCTTGTTAATTAATTGTCGCTAGATTTAGGGCTAAAGAATCCAAATCTCCACAAGACACCTTTATGTTTTAACTATCTTAATTACATCGATCGCCTTTAAATAGACTCAAAATAATAATAAATAAATTTTGCAAGCTAAATAACATGGAAATATATTAATAGTTCACTTTTCAACAAATTCTCAATTCAAATCAAATTAAAGGTTTTTTTAGCCAAGCAAGTTAGTTGTCGGATAATCGCAAATAAGCGGACGTCTTATGCGCTTTCAAACCTTCCTAAGGCGTTAATGTGAATCCCTGAACCCTCCTTTAAGTTTACAAAATAATATTTCTGTTTAAGTCTTTTGAAAATAATAATTTTCTTCATTTTTCTTAAAAATTAAATGGCGACTCTAAAAAGTTGAAAACTTATAAAATAAATATTTTTCCTTTTTTTAATTAAAACAGCTACTATATAAAAGTGATCAAAATTAGATGAAATAGTTTAGAATAAAGCAAGATGAACAATCTACTACAAATGAACGATCATTGTATTTCAATTGTTACACAACCATCATGAACTACATGATGTTATTCCTTGGGGTGCTTCAATATCACTAATGGCTCCGACGTCAAGCTTCTTTGAGCATAGTTCCAAAGAAGTGCAGCATGTTTTGACCTTAAAAACATAGTGAATTTCCTTGACCATAAGATAGTCACTCGACATAAGCAAGCATATAGATACCACAATCCCTATGTACAATAGGAGAATATAAAATTAAAATTAAATACATTTATAAATGATAATACAAAATCAAAATAACACAACTTACAAGCTATCATGTATTTGTTGAGGTATGTTTTTAGTGAAAACTATCTCAAATAACTCGTTCTCTTCTTGAGATACATCTAAACCTGTTCCTGTAATAATCATTCATTATCATCTTAAGCGAAATGAGTTGATCCAACTTGTTAACCTCATTCTTGATTTCTGAATTATGATATGCTACTCTGTAAGAATCATCAACTTCTATACATTTATCTTTAAGAGAAACTACTGCTAATACCCAATGGAATTTGTCCTTCACATTTACAAAAACAAAGACGTGATCCACCAAATGCCACAAAATGTTGGCATGCACTTTATACCCTCTAATGTATTCACCTATAAAATGTTCTTCATCAACGCAACAAACATCACTATCTTTATTTGCACAGTTCTTCCAAATTGAGGAAACTTTGGACCCAAATACACAATCCACGATTATGTATTTATATCTGTTGTCAGTATCATACTTGACTTTCTTTCTCAAATAATATAAGATAACATTGATATACTGAACAATAAAGAAATTAGTAAT